TCCAGTCATCTGTGTAGATGAAATTTCATTAAAGAGCACAAAGTGTTTCTCAGCGTATCACAACAGATACATTCCCAGTTAACCTGGTATATATATGGAAAAATAAATGGGTCAGAGGGAGAGAGAAAGAACAACTTTTGTTAGGAGTCAAACTCAGCTGACTGGAAGTCCAGTACACTAGGCACTGAGCTACAACTCCCAGACAAAAGCTGGTCTTCCCCATTCCCTCAAGTACAGACACATTTACGTAACTAACTGAAATGAGGATGGATATCTTACTTGCACTTCCTGGTATGTTTCCAAGTACTAGTGAGAAGTCATAGCCCACGGGACAGTAGGAATGTCGACTGGTGACAACCACACACACTAGCACTTGTCCAGCATTCTCGTTTTCTGCATACGCCGTTCTTTCAAACTCCACTGTAGCCACTGCAGAGCATCAAAAACAACAGATTCCTCAGCCTCTTTCCCTAATAAATCTCTATCTATCTCTCTGTCCATTGGATCAGCCATAAAATACTTTATATATATACTGAGGCAAGGAATGCTAACTCAGCCGACATGTAGTGTGGATGTGCATGCATGTATGCAAGTCAGTGAGCACAACATTTTATAGTCTGAGCAACACTGTGTTGCAGAAGCTATACCTAGCTAAGGCAGGCAGTGCTCCAGGGTGTTGCAATGCTCAGCCATAGCTACATGCCATGCCATGCCATGTGCATCACTTATATGAGCAAGACGACCCTGGGTGAATATGTGAACATGTTCACTCTCCCTCTCCCCCTCTTACTGTCAGCATCAATGATGGACACCACTCCCACATTGTCTTCTAATCTGATTCTGGTGTCCAGATTAGAGGTCCTATTGACAGTGACAGTAAACATCTCTGTGTCTTCTTGGGTGTCATCATCTGTGATGCCTACGTTGTAACACTCTCTCGTCTCACGAACAGAAAAAGAGAGTGATCTTCTTCTTTGAGCACTGAAATCAGCTCTGACATTTCCCCGGGATATGCTGACTATAGGGAAAAACACACCAAAGCGAGTACAAACCACATGATGCCTGGATGATAGCTACTTACCAGCAGTGCCGTCAATAGTGTTGAGTTCAACGGAAAAGGAGAAATCGATTGGAGTATCTATAGCTGGGCTGTCAACTTCAACACAGACTGTAACAGTCCTATTCTCCTCTTGGACACTGTATGCTGTTTTGTCCAGCTTTAATACCGCCTCTGGAGTAATGGTGCACGGACACAGTCATGAGTACACGTACAATCCCTCCTACATTATATACCATCTGTGGGGTCATCAATGACTGTGAGTGTTCCTGAGGCAGTGTTGACGATGATCCTTCTGTCAAGATCATCAGTTCTCTCCAGTCGATACGTATATCTTTTTGTCAGCTCAAGTTGTTGATCATCGTCAATTGGAACGGGACACGCATGAGCTGAAAGCACACGGCCTAAATGCCATTGGGAAGTCCTCTGTGATTGGGAAACAAATCATTGGATAAAGTCAGTGTAATGACAGACAACTTACCCCCATCAACTGATAGATTTATGACAAAGTCAAAGACAACTGGACAGGAGCTCTGGGCTGGTGTGGGGTTGTAAATCTCTGCACATATACTGACTGTCGCATCCACTCCTTCTGTCACAGTAAATACCCTTTGCTCCAGTCGGACATAAGCCCCTGCATAGGAAATTGGTCTCATAATGACTGAGCACTAGAACAATTCGAGAAAACGAGGCAAAATGTGACAAATAAGCTGTCGCAAAGTAGTGAACAAGAACCACTATTATTTAGTACAATATGCATTTTCTTGCACAAACAGGTATAGCCCAGGTGGGGAATTAGTGCTAACTCACTTTCTGAGTCATCATGGATGATGACTTCAGCAGTGTAGGGATCAGGTGTGACAAGAGGGAAATTGCTGGTTAGGAAGAGGTGAAATGACTCCACTTCCTCAACCTCCACGTCATTGCGATCGTTGACAAAGGTAATACGATGGGGAGCACACGCACTTCTCCTACAACGGGCAAACTCTATTGTCTGCGTTCTGTAAGCCACATAGTCGGAAATGTTGTCTGGAGGGATGATAGTATGCAAGGTGAGACAGGGAGCACACAGATACAGTAGTCATTACAGGCAGTGCCATCGAAAACGTCTAAGGTCAGGGAGAAAGGAGTGGCGACTGGACAGGACACTGCAGGGCTGACCACTCTTGCACAGATTGTTAAACTACCACTTGTTTCCTGGTAACTGTACGTTCGGTCAAAAGTGACAATCGCCACTGCAAAGACAAGACAGAGAAGACTGAATGAAAGCGTAAAGTGTAAATATACAAACAAACGTACCATCTTCGTCTTCGATGGTAACAGTAGCCACTGTAGGGCCTAGCATGATATCGTCTGTGCTTCCTCTAGGCGGGTGTTGTAGGGTGAGGGTAAAGGTTTCAGTGTCTTCAATGAGGTCATTATTGATTATATCTACCATCAGACACTGCCTCTTAGCACATGCACCAAACCTCAGAGTAGGGTCTCGGACCCTATAATCACTTCCTTGGACTAGATGGAGAGAGAAAGAGAGAGAGATGTATACTAGAACATGTATACTCTAGCTTCAGAACGTACATGCAGTGTCCTGAGTTGCGACAAACAGCAACTCAAAGGGGAAGACAATGGGGCATTCAATGAGCGGACCATACACCACCACACACACATTGAGTTTCAACTCATTTTCCACCACAGTATATGTCGCATTCTCCAGTCCCACACTGGCCTCTGCAATGGAAACAAACTGTGTGATGAATGTTAATGCATCACCACAATGGCCAAAGACTACCAATAGTAACAGTGTCTGATAAATTGACTGGCTAGTAGCTGCGTCTACTCACCATCGTCGTTAACTATGCTGATCTCCACTGATGAAGTGCCCAGTGCAATGTGACTATGAGGATGGGTGATGTTTATTTTTGCTTTGAACGACTCTGTCTGCTCCAGCATTTCGTCATCATTGATGGTAACACTGGTGCAAACCCTGTTATGGAATGCCTGGAATGTCAGCTGACGGCTGTCTACAGCCACAAAGTCTTCCCCATCTGAAAAAACACTCCATAAACTAATTGAAACTGATAACAACATATCTCACCTGCGCTGTCGAATACTGTAAAGAATGTAATGTCGAAATCTGTATCTCGACTGCAGGGCCTTCTCTCATCATCATCTTGAATGATGACACATATCTGCACTGTTCCTGCATCCTCACGCACAATCCTTGGCCCATCCAGGCTCACATAGATGGCTAGATGGAAGTGTATCATCATCATCGTAACTACTAGGACCACGGCTGTGGAATAATAAATAGACTTACTTTGTTCATCTGTGATCTTCACTTTGCTGTCTCCACCGTCTGTTTTCACCCTGCTTTTCTTGTCTTCAGGCCCATTGTTATCGATATTTCCGAGTTCAAGTTTGATAAATTCCAGTTCTTCCAAAATGCAGTCATCCAGGATGGGTACATCGATACATTCCTCGTCACTTCCAGCACTAAATTGCAGAGTTGCTTTTGTGGCAGTGTAGTCCTCATCGACCACTGGAAAAGAACATAAACTTGACTCTTATTGTATGCTTTGCAGCTAAAGTGGGGGTATTGGTCAACCCCACCCCTGTCTCGCCACACCCAATTAGAAATTAGAAACAATATTACCTGCAGTGGACCCTTCCTCTTTAGTTGTAAAATTGACAGAGAAGTCAAAGTCCACTGGTGGCACGACTTCAGCACACACTCTAACTTTGCCACTGTCAACTCCTTCATCGACGATGTAGAGTGTCTTGGTGAATGAAACCATGGCAACTACAGAACAAAGTCAACAAAGACACTATATATTAGAGTGAAAAACAGTTCAAGGGAGATGATAAATAAGGCAACCTAAGCACACAGCCATTTACCATGTATTTTACTGAGATACACAAAGATGGCGGTGAAGTCTATATTAGAATCAAGACCACCAAACTTATCCCACGCCTCCCTCTTCCTCATGCAATCTTGAGAATTGGACTACTGAATGCTGGGGTTAGCAATACAGCCTATATACAGCAAATAACCTTCTGTCACTGAAATGTTTCATCACATTGCTATTTTGTAACATGAGTGATGCTATCCCTAGACAACAGAGAAAACTTAGTTGGGGTGGAATGGAAATTTGTTTTTTGTTACACAAATCAGGCTCTGTTTTGTATCATAGTTACGGCTGACTCAGCAAAACCTACCATCTTCATCAATGATGGTGACTGTTGCAGTATCCTGCTGAAATGTAACAGCTGTGCCTCCCCCACCGCTAAACTCCAACGTCACATCGAACTGTTCAGTCATATCCTCTACTTTATTGTCGTTGAGGATGTCGATTGTGAAGCAGTTCTCTCGAGCACAAGCATCATATCGGAATGGGTCGTCCTCATCATAGCCTGGGTCTACATAGTCTTCACCTTTAGCTACACACGAGAGAGAGGGTACATTGTAATGTGTCCCACTACTGCTGTTTATACATACTTGTAGTGTTATCATTGACTGTAACAATGAACTCTAGTGGATACACCACAGGGCATTCAATGGTATCTGGACTCTTGACGTCGACACAAATTTCAACTTTGTCATCGTCTTCCTCATTGACTGTGTAAGCCAACATCACAAAGCCCAGCTCAGCCTCTGAAAGTGAAATTAATACACCAGGTAAAAGATTTTTTTCTGCACAAACCGCAATTTTTAGTTTGCTAGCTGAAAGTAGGATTCACGTCATCTACTGGAAACATGGCTATTAGCTAATGCTGTGGTTCATTTACTAAACATTTCTCATAATTATAGAGCGTTGCCTGAAGCAAAAGTTACTATGATAGAGAGCTAGCAAGTAAAGGGAGAAGGCCATGCCAAGGACAGCGTGGTAGTGTATTACATGCATGGGTTTGCTCCAGCAGTGACTCTGCACATACTTTACATATGCATGTGTAGACCTGTGTAGAGTTTTGCACAAATATGCTACTTGTAATCTCTAAGACCCTTGTATGAAAGCTATCCTCCTTCAACAGAAATGTTGCAAAAAATGCTCAAATAAGTTTTGGAATGGGCTTACTATCATCATCAACGATGATCACCTCGGCCTCATCACGCCGCAGCATTACCCCATCAGGCGTATTTGGTAATCGTTCCAGAGTCACGTAGAAGGATTCTTCGAGATGCTCCACCTGAATATTGTCAAGGATGTCGATGGTAATGCACGCCTTGTTGACGGACGAAGAGAAGATCAAATTTGTTTCAGCGCTCACGAAGTCTGCACTTAGCCCTGTAGCTTCTGAAAAGTGTTCAGATTTTTTTTAAACATTGTGGTACATGATGAAAGTGGTGCACGTACCTGCGCTATCGGGAACAGTGAAAATACGCACAGGGAAGTCTATTGATGGTTTGCAGCCAGCTGGTCTTATAACAGCACAAACGTCAATCTGAGTTGCATTCTCGAAAACTTTATACACGGCATGCTCCATCTCAATGAAAGTGTCTGAAAAGAGGGACATTAAACTCAAGTTTTTGTACTATAGGACGATTTCTTACTGTCATCATTTTCAATAGTGACTGTGAGACTATCGTTTGTAATGATCCTATTTGTAAGGCCCACTTCTGGTTCCAACGAAATAGTAAAGTTTTCATCTCTTTCAAGACTGCAGTCATCTATTATGGGTACATCTACACACTCCCGAGCATCACAGGGTCTGAATGTCACGTCAACTCTGCTTTTATCATAGTCAGCGGCATCTGAAAAAATATATCTCTCAAAGGACACTTTGTAAAAGGAACACATTTGAGTAAAGGGCACTATCAATTCCCCCAAAGTGCCCCTTGTGCAATGGATGGCTGTGTGGTTGGTGAAAATACAATGGAACTGAATCCCTCTTTAAGGACACCCTCAAAATGAGGCCTGAAATTAGGATTCCCCTCAAGACCATATGTTCTTTCCGAACAGGTCTTGCATGTGATTTAACCCCTGAAATACATGTAACACCCCTTCTTAAATGACAACAAACCTGTAGTGACTGTGTGCAAGGACACCCTCAAAATGAGGACACCCCCCTTAAGGACACTTTCTAAGGATACCCTCAAAATGAGGACACCTCTCTAAGGACACCCCTGAAATGAGGATACCCCTCTTATAAGACCATATTTTCTTTCCCCAAGAACAGGTCTTGCACGTGATTTAACCCCTGAAATACACAAAACACCCCTTCTTAAATGATAACAAACCTGTAGTGACATCTTCTTTAACGATGTAGACAGTGAACTCGAAAGCTACCGGACAAAACCGTCTGTTTCCCAGCATCCTCACATTGAGACATACTCTGAGTATCCGCGCATTCTCCAGCACATTTGTAGGGGCTGATATTTCCACAACAGCCACTGGATCGAAAGAATCACTCAGGTTAGTTGGTATGTTATCCTTTTTATTACGTGAGGAATTTTTTTACGTTTTACTACTCCAGAAATATACGCCCAAGGAACTTGCACCTAGCATGGAAACGTGTGGAGAAGTGTGCAGCCATTTTCTACTGCCTAAAGAGGATCATGGTAAGAAGCTAGGAGAGAAAGGCTACAGCTGCTATTAAGCTTTTTAAGAATCTGTTTATTTCTTGCGCATTTCTGCACACGAGAGACCAAAACGGTTGTTGCTCCATGCGCGACCGAGTGCTGAAGCTAAAACTTGGTAGGTAATACTCATTAAGAAGAAGATGATGAACAAAACTCCCTATCATAGCCCCATACGTCTATGATGCTAGGTACCATGCCAATCCCTATATACTAAGTACTACCGCACTTAGTGATAGATCCCAGTTCAATATACTACTCAACATACAAACTGTAGCCAGACAACTCACTTCCCAATAGGAACTACACAACTTACTATCATCGTCAAGAATTTCGTATCGTTTAGTGGGTGTAGGGATATTGATTCTCTCATTCAAATCCCTATTGGAACCATGTGTCAAGGTTACGTTGAAATATTCGTGGTTCTCCACTGTTCCATCATCAATCGTTGAAATGTTATAGCGGAATTCCTTTGCACAAACAGGTATTGTGAGTGTTCTTGATACTGCGACGTAGTCACGGCGACTCCCTCTGGAAGCTATTGAGAAAGGATGAAGTGAATCACGCCACACGTCCCAATGTGCACTTACTTGCAGTTCCGTCCTGAGTCCGAAGCCGAACTTGTATTGCAACCAACGAAGGGCAATCACTCCTGGGGCTTCCCTCAATCAACAGACAAACTTGTATGGGAAAGCCTTCCACCGATATTGCCGGATCTTTAAAAATAATACTGATGTCTGGAGCAAAAAACAGTTGCGTGAGTTACAAAAGAACACGTGAAAGAAAACCAGTGTCTTACGGTCATTATCTTCTATAGTGACTGTTTTCTTCACAATATCAAGCCGAATTCGTCCGTCGTGGTTGGGGAGCTTCAGCAGGGAAATGTAGAATGTTTCGTCAAGTTCCAGGGAACTGTCGTCATACACGGTTATATTTGTACACTCTGACCGACTACACTCTCCAATTGTGATGTCGGTCACATTGGGATCGTGGTCCGCTGATGTTGTTGTCACAGCTGTGTAAAGAGAGAGAGTGTGTCGCACTGCACTGCAGAAAGCTACACAAGAGTCCTTCCTTACCCCTTGCTTCAAGTCTGAGGTCGAATGGAAACTCCACAGGGCAGTCTCGTTCCATGCCACGGAAAACCACACACACCGTGAGTGTTACAGCTTCATCAACCTTGCAGGAAGCTCTCTCTAGACCAAATGTTGCAACTGAAGAGAAAAGGAATACAATTCTCTTCAGGATTATATATAATTCCTTGTAAACAGTACTACATTACGGAGGCCAATCAAGAAAGAAGCTCCTCTGAGTGGGACTGGAACCTATGACCACAAAAAGCAAGGAAAAACTAACCAGGAAACCACTTTTTCCCAAATGCTGCCCTGGGTGGGACGTGAATCTACAGCTCCAGGCAGAGACCTTGAAACTACACACCACAATACAAAGGTAAACAAAAGGTTTGCGTGGAGGGACCGACATCTGTCACATACCATCGTTATCTCTTATGACGACTGTTACAGGTGTCCTGACCGGCTTGATTCGTTGCGTCACGCCCGGTGTGTTTTGCAAGATGACTTGAAAGGTCTCCTCCCTGTAACGATCCACTGTGTCGTCGTCAATGATTCTTATCTTTACGAGCACTGAAAGATCTGTACTGAACTGAATATTTCTGCTGATATGGTCGTAGTCAATGTTAATTGCTGTGGAGGGAAACAAGACTCTTTTAAACATCACACTATAAGAACAAACAGTATTTTGTACTGGCAGTTCCTGCTTCGGTGTACACAGCAACAGTAAAGTCAAACTGGACGCGGCAAGTCATTGAGCCGAATTCATCAGTGACTGCCAAGAACAACCTCGCATAACCATCACCCTCATTTACGGGCAAGTCTCTGCTGCCTCCCACGATTCGCACATAAGCCACTGTTGAAGAGAAAGACTAGGTTAAAGTAACTGGGATATAGGGCAGGGGTTTTAATTCACCATCACTGTCATAGATTCCAACACTTGCTTCCGATGGCTCTATGTTTATTCCGTCAACTGTATCCCTTCGCAGCATAACTGTGAAATTCTTTACTAGCTCCACGATACAGCCATCTTCTATAGTGCTTATATTGGTGCATGCCCTTGTGTCACATGGTGCGAAGTATAGTTTCTCGTTGCGACGCTCATAGTCCACACCAGGTACTAGACAGAAAAAGTGAGAGAGAAAGAAAGTTTACTATAATAACTCTTTGGGCCAAAGCAACACAACTATGGACCATAATGGTGGAAGCACATGTTTTGGGGGTAAGGATTGAATCAAGGACCTCACTTTTACAAAATATATCGCTTACCAACTACATCACTTAGGTACACTTGGCAGACACTCTTGCACATTTTGCGTAATTCTTAATGAGGTACGGTTTGTATAACATTTAAACCTGCATTAATAGGAGCAGTAGAGATTGTGAGACTGAATTCATAGTTGATAGGACACTCGATGTTTGGAGATGTCACACTGGCACACACTTCGAGGCTGTCTCCCTTCGTTGACTGAATAAAACATTTCCTCTAGGCCCACAGTAGCATCTGTGGCAGTAAAAACACATGTCACACACCTATTTTACTGTAGCTGCCACCTAAAATTGTCCCACTTATCAACGTTGAAATTTAACTCACCGTCGTCATCTATGATTGTGATTGTGGCGTGCTCTTCAGTCACATTGGTGTAGGCAGAATTCTCCCTCAGGTGCAGAGCTAGAGCGGTGTACTCAGTCTTTTCCACACGACTGTCGTCTATGATCTCCTGTTCGAAACACTGCTCGCTGTCCTGCTCAATTCGCATTTCTTTCAACACGTTACAGCCCTGGAGCTGCTTTGGGTAGTCATCATACATATCCTCTTCATACATACATTCAATGCTGGGGAAAGTTCCATCTAGAAATAGAAATCGGTAGTTAAATCAATGAACACCAAAACAGACAAAACGATACTAACTTGCAAGTAGTTTGTTGTTAATCTTGCTGTCATCAGAGTATACGTCAACAAAAATGTAGTTCCCGGTGCTTTCTGGACAAGTGAGGTTCAAACAGATCCTTGCAGGTTCACTCTCCATGACCGTAACATCCGTGACAGTGAATTTAGCACGGCACGGGTTTTCTGGAGGAAGGAAACACACACTCTACAGCAGAAACGGGATTTGGACTTTGAATCTTACCATCTCCACCATCTTCAATGCAGAATTTGTAGTGACAGTAGTGTGCTTCAGCTCCCTGGTGTTTCTTGCACTTGAAGTCGTGCAGGTAGTGCATCATTTGGAGATATTCTCAAGATGAAGCACTCCTTTCCTTCGGGTCTCGCGTCGTCCAAGACTTGCACGGTGATATTTAACACCCTAGATCCAGCCTTTAACTCAAGTTCTGTTACTTCGCCATTCACCAGGTTTCTAATGCTGGCGTCAGCGTTGGATCCGGGCTGCTAGTGACGGTCGCGGTACTCTTGGTCATGATTACGTCAACCTCGACTGAATGGTTCTCTCGGACATTATGTTTGAGCTGATTTCAATCACGCGAGTCCCTTCAGATTCAATCACACTATCGCTCCTCATTGTGAACCCAATGTACATAGCTGCCGAGAAGGAAATTTAGAAAAAATTACAAACATATTCCTGTAAAATTAATACTAAAAACCTTTGCCTTTTGAAAAGCTCAAAATTTTGTGCGAAATTTCAGATGGTCTTATTGAAATGCTCTTGTCACTAGACTTGTTTGTCACATGGTTGCTTTATGGATGAATGTGAGAATTACTCACGGTCATTATCGAGGATTCTAACAAGTGCTGTTCCATTCCCTGTGCAGTTTGTGTCCTTTTCATGCTTTTTGAAGCAAACTTTTGTCAGTGGGAGATGTGAGTCCAGCGTCACCTCTGCCAGCAGGAAAAAGACTTGAGGATTCTCGTTGATATCGTCGTCCTCTACACTGATTACACCACTGGCCGTTTTTACATTAGGAGATGTTGTACTAGCGATCTTCTCTTCGTCAGAAAAGTCAGCATCTATTCCATTTCCTAATCACAAGTGAGATATGAAAAAAATCACTAAACATGGCTAAAAACTCAACGGGTGAGTGAGAAAGAATGAGAAAGAGAAGGAAAGACAGGGTAGGGAGCTACTCTACTGCACCTTTTGTTGCGGGGCATATATTTTCGTGTGCCATTCTACCGCCCATATGCATGACTTCTGATGCCTCGACTGGTGTCACAGTTAGTGTGAAATCTTCCTCTGTAGTCCGATGGTAAAATATGACGTCTTTATCCCCAGCTTACACCCTCCGAGTTTGCACTTTGCGTGAACGCCTGGGATCGATTAGTGGATATCCAGATCTGCAAATGCAAAACACCAGCATGTATGAGGGCCTTCTTATAGCGCAGTTGGCTGGCATAGGGAAACTCGCTAGTTACGTCATATCAAGGAATGTTCACGTAGGACACTATTGTCGCTAGAGAACTCGCAGATGCTTCAAGTTCTTCTATGAATGTGCTTTTGTGGACTGCACTGAACTTAAGAACGACTTGATCGCTGTACTTCCAGGGCGATTTATTCTCATTGAGGGTCACCATAGAGAATGTTGTTGGGCCTTCTCCAAGGGTTTTTACTTTCCCAATGTCCACATAGTCACACTTTTCTACATTAGAATTAAACAGCACACGCTTATGTAAGGAAGAGAAGTGAAAAAGAAAAAGAGAAAGACAAGGGACTGCTAACACTATACAAAGGTCTACTACTGTACAGAGTAATAGTTATATTCCACGATAGAACACAAGCGTTACCCCTCACCTGCAGAGTGGCTCTTTGAAGTGATGTATCCCAAAAGTAGGAGGTCGAGGTTGCTAAAGGTCGATGTTCCCTTCACGTTCTTCTCGAAGGTAATATCTGCTCGGTCGCCTTCCTCGACGTCGTACATCATCTGAGAGAAGCCGTGTACTGCAGGAGGAAAATGGACACCACCACTACTTTTACCACACTCCTACACACACTGAAAATAGTCTCATTTCCTGCCGCGTGTACAGGGGAAAACCTAACAGCCGCAGTGAGTGACTACTTGGCTGTCTGAGCAGTTGCCATGCAGTATGTGAGGTGATGCCCAGTTGGTATAGCCATCGTATGATACTCAGAGCAAGATAAGCCGACAGCTGTTACCTAGATAGAGATAATTCCGGACAGAGGAATAAAAGGCTTGTAAAAGCAAAGTAGTGGCTGTGGTCTGGGGTTTCAACCAACACTACTCGGGAGTAGGTTTAGGCTGCTGCGGATTATCTCTCTGTGGTGTCCTGCACGTACTATAGTCTTAGGTAGTTGTTAGAGTCATGCGTTCCATGATGAAGGTGGGTGTTCATGGGGTGGTTTGAGCTCAGGGTGTTGTGTGGGTGTTGTGTAGGTGTGATAAGCTGGTGAGTCCCAACCCCCCCAGACATGTAAGTCCCTGTGAGGATAGTACAACTGCTGATGACAGACAGATCTACGATATTGGCTACATGCAATGCAAGGCACTCACCAAAGAGTAGTAATTGAAAGCCATGCAGCAAGCTTTGTGTGTTCATTCACTTGGCTCAAAACGAATTCGTATATGTAGTTGAAAAGGGTTTACTTACTAGTTTGTGGCTAGTGACTGAGTTTTGTTTGCATAATAGCAATTAAACTGGATTGCTTCATTGGACATGTGTCCACACCCCACATTTAGTTTAGAACATGAAATTTCCAAAACTTACTGTGAAGTGCAAGTGTGGTGATTACACAGAACAAGCTTATGTACAAAGAATGTGGTGTAGTTGTCACCGAACTGATGGCTGGCAATGCGATCCAGTTGGTTTGTAAGACTTGAGATAGACCAATCAGACCCAGTCGCAGCACTGTCTCGCTAGTGGCTGATCCTCTCACTGAGAGCAGCTCCCCAGTGCAATCACTAGTGAAAAACAACTCTACCATACATTCTGTGAAGATAGAGAGGCGAGGGGAAAGTACAATACTATAATTGTAGATAATATTCAGACAAAGTTTTACACAGTCACTGTGCGGGTTTTACTATCCGACTAATTTGTGCAGTGGAAAGTTTTTGTGGGAAGGCAAGGATGAAGTTTTGCACTTAGGGGGCCATGCGGCTGTACAAAGTAGATGTTGTGAATGAGAGTGATTACATAATCTACACCTTTCCAGCTCTCGGCAGGGTTGCATCCTGTGTGCGCCCAGCCGCGCTGCCGCGCGCTCTTTCGCGCACCTGCGCTAAATACGGCGAGGGAGCGCTGTTCGGCCTGCGCGTTTGCAACAGATGCGTCATCTCATCTTGGAAGGAATTCAGTAATACGCGCGTGGTCGGGAACAGAATCTACGTAAAAACCGGTGATGGCTCCGTGTCAGGAAGCGCGCTAGGAAATATAAAACTCAAGCACAACACGGCCAGCCCGCCTCAAAAATTGACAGTGGGGGTCCGCAGTATGGTCTTACATACTAAATATAAGAGGCTAATACCGGGAATAGACACCAACACTTGATGTCTTTTCTGACATACCGCCGCACGCTGCGCGCATAAAGTCACCCTCCGCGATGGGAACATGGTGATAGCTCGCAACGAGAAGAGTCGGCCTAGTAAGTGTGGACGCAATCATATCATGCCGGCGTCGCTGGCT